TTTAGTATCCACTTCGTCGCTTTTCTATACGTTTTGCTGTAGTTCGATTTTTGTTGTTGTTGACCAGAGGATCGTCGGAAAGAGTTGTGTTAGAATGTGCTTATCTACAATTTCCAATTGTAAAAAAATCAAATATAGAATAGCCATTAAAGATTATGTTAATCTAATAGTCAAACTTACATGATAACTATTTGTTATACTTTACTACTAACCCCAAGACAGCTAAAAAAAATAATCAGTCAAAAAGATAAATCTATTACTAGTAATTTTATTTCTATTGAGATCTTCTTTAGTATCCAGGTATTAATCAATTTTCACAAAGTTCAACTTTGAATAGTACTCGGTACTAACCATAACTGGGTTTTTGCGAATAGTGAATAATATCCAGGTCTTAATCATGGGGTACTATTCGATAAAAATACTTTATGCAGTGCTAGACGGTAATTAGTACATTAACTGGTATGTTAACAGGTATATTAATTGGTATATTAACAAGTACATTAACTAGTATATTAATTGGTATATTAACTAGTATGTTAATTAGTATATTAACTGATATATTAATTAGTATATTAATTGGTACATTAATTAATATATTAACTGGTATATTAACAGATATATTAATTGGTATATTAACAAGTAAATTAACTAATATATTAACTGAAACTAGTGTTCTAATCTGTTCACCTGTGGGTGACCTGTCAGGCTAATCTGAAAAACTGACAAATATTCTGAGTATTCTCAGCCAATTGCTGATGTTTGTTTATATTAAATCAAATAGAATTGTTAAAGTTTAATATATTCTATTTTACCTGATGTAAACAAATATTGGTGATTGGCTGGAAATACCCAGAATACTTGTTAGTTTATCTGGATCAGCCTGACAGATCACCTACAGGTGAACAGATTAAAATACTAATTAGAATATTAATTAGGTCAATAACTAATAGTTCAAAAGATATATGAACTTTAATTTTTCTTCTTTCTGCTAGTTAGTTCTATATAGTTTTAAATAAATCTAAATAGACTTAAATAGATACAGAATTTCTTTAATTCTAGAATTCTTTCTTGTAATTAAAATCTTATATACTATAAATAAAATATATCTTTCTTTAATTATATACATTCTCCAAACTGCTATTAAAAAATTATATTTACTTTCACACCACTATATTATTGCAACAGATCCCTATAGCTGTGTGCTTTGTTACTTATGCTGTATTAAAAAGGTTACAGTTTACTTGTAATATCATATTAATTTTGTAGATTAATGTGAATATGAAAATAGTGAAACTCATGTTTTTTAAGTTACTTTTTTGATGCAGATCTATTTTTAATTAAGGTTAAATATTATTTAGATAGTGATATATATTAATAATATAACTGCCTCTGACACAGGTTTCACTCTGTCATATTATATTTATTATAATATATAAAATTCAAATTTTTTTATATCTTAAGAATGTTTATATAATAGATTTTGAATTTTTTTATATTTTTATAAATTTATGTAATGCATATAAAAAAGTAATTTGAGAAATCAAACTATTATTAAATCTCTTATTGGATGTTAAATACCAAATGATTTACTATCATAGTGTAGCATTATTGGCCTACTAAGTAAAATTTTTAAACAATTTGTTAAAAAAATTTATAGTAATAAAAACTATGTATTTTTAAAATGTTATAGAATCCTTCTAGTAAAGTAGATTAATTTAATGATATAAATATAGTGTTATTTTAAAACTATGATGTCATATTTAATATTAAAATATGAATTTTAGTAGGTCTTTATAATATAATTGTTAAATAATATCTTTAAAACGTTCTAACTCCCATTCTAGTAGAGCTAATTTAATTCTATAACATATAAATGACATATAATATGTAAATTTTAGTAGCTCTCTATAATTTAATCATTTAAAATTGTTAAAATTTGGTAATTCATAATTTTAGCCAAATTAATAAAATGAAATACAAAATATCTCAACATAGTTTTAAAAGTACATAATTTATATATCATTAACAAGTTACATCAAACAAATTTAATTTCAAAATGCTAATCCTTGTTCATAAAAAACAATAAACAAAAAATCTCATCACATAACATTAAAACCATGCAGCTAAACATTCTGATGGTCTTAAATTTTTTTTAAATTTATTTTTAATAAAATAGTAGAAAATTAAAGTCGAGGCAAATTTATAATTAAACAAGCAATTTGGCCGCCCAAAATATACTATTAAACAAGCAAATTTGCACATTAAATTTGACCACTCTATATGCTAGATTTGGCTACTCTATATATTAAATTGACTATGTTAATTAATAATTTGGCCGTATCATATATATAAAAATTAAAATTTAAATTTGGCCGCTAAAAATTTTCATTTGTTGGGACTAGGTTGCCCGCACTGTATGATAAATTCTTTTAATAAATTGATCGACAAAATTTTAAAAATCTTAAATAGTGGGCCATGATAGTATCTAACACCCCAATCCCTTATCTATATTTATTCTAATTCTAACCCTTTATAAAATAAAGCCGTAGCTAGTGATGTAAATGTAAATAACTTTGCATCTATACTAGGGATACTAATGACTCGACTCAAAAGCCGACGACTTTCAAAATTTCCGGGTGAAATAATATGATTTTTTTCTGAGTGTTTTTCTTAACCGAAACTCAGAAACCATTATAAATGACGGAAATTTCCGTTTATTGAAAAATCGAGGCAGAAATTGTCTTAAATAGACGGAAATCTGACATTTTACAGTGTTCGGCATGATGCTAAAATTCAGATGATCGTATCTGAATAACGATAAAATTTTAAATTTCAACTAGCCAATAGATTATCTGCTTGTGTGTCTCATATCGGTTTTGTCACATAGTATAGTTGCCGTCCAAATAGTTATAACTATTAGTCCAAACTAGTTATAACTATTAGTCCAAACTAGTTATAACTGAAATTTTGTCTCAAATCCCATTTCATGCAGTAAGTTCGGGACAAGTTTCACGGCTTTAACTAGTCCCAAATAATGGTTAATACCTTAGAAAGTCCCAAAGTCCCAAACTAGTTAGGTTTGGACGGCAACTATAGTCACATAGTGCAAGCTAAATACAGAAATAGTGAAAATCACTAAATTTTTTTATAATGATTTTCCACTACGTATTCTCTATGGATCACGTTAAGGTTAGGTGACAGTATAGTTTAGGCTGATTTGTTAGCGGCAGTTATATTAATTATAGAAAGCGATATCGCACTAATATAGTTCATAAATATAAACACTTTAAACCGGCGCCATTATTCATATATTTTTTTTTCTAAGTTAAATTTATCCTATTACTCGGAAAATGTGCAATATATTTATGACCAATCATTGTATATTGCATCATTTATATAAATTTTATTCATTAAAATGTTTAGATGTCAAGACATTGTGATAGGTAATATGAGAATACAAACTAGAATAAAAAAATTAAATATTTATAATCAAATGATAATAAATTTAGTGCGTATCTCCTTACAAAATTAGATAGATATAGTTGTTGACCTTTGCTAAATTATTAACAAAATACTTGACACGCCAGTTCAAATTTATTAGTATTTTCCAAAAGAAATAATCTCCATAATATCTAATTCAAGACAACAGACCACTCGTGGGGTATTTCACCATATTGTATACCCATTATCGTGTCAGAAATTCGTCGAGTCACAGGTCCTGCATTACTTGAAGGATCATTTGGATCTAAAGGCACTTCTAAATCTTCTCCACGATAATGAATTACTTTAATAGGAGTGACAATACATGCGGTACCAGAACCAAACATTTCTCTCAAGCGGCCCTCTTTCAGAGCATTTACTACCTCGGGCATGGTAATCTTACGTTCTGAGACTTTGAACTCATTCCACGTCCGAGCCAGTTGTAATATTGAATCACGAGTCACACCAGCAAGTATGGTACCATCTAAGGGCGGTGTCACAAGCTCAGTTTCTAAATAGTAAATAATTTTAGAATATGCTATGTCTATATAATTTCATCAAAATGAAAAGTTGATAAATAATATCATACCACCATGCTTATTATCTAAAAGAACAAAGCAGTTCATCGTACCCACTTCAGTTATTTCATCATCAGGACCAAATAGCCATAAATTTTGTTGATAACCTTTTTCGACAGCTTCAATTTGTGGTTTAACACATGGAGAATAGTTTCCACCAATTTTAGAATCACCAGTTCCACCGGGCCATGCTCTTACGTTTTCAACTGTAGATAATAACTTAACAGCACTAAATCCTGTTTTGTAGTATGGCCCCACAGGAGAACAAATAATAAATAGAATTGCTCTAGAATTAGGGCCTATTCCTAGAGATGCTTGTGTACCAATAAGAGTAGGACGTATATATAATGAGAATCCTCTCTCAGCTGGAACCCAACGTTCCTCTAAACGGATCAATGTTTTTAAACACTCTAACAATTCATCTTCGTTGAATTCCTGGTTTAAATAGTTAAATGGTTTATAGGATAAAATCATAATAAAGACATGATTCGATTGATCAAAATTTCAACATTTACACCAACCACATCCCAAACCTATACTCACAGGTAATGTAAGTCTTGCAGCAGATCTCCTAAGTCTCTTCATATTCATGTCTGGTCTAAATAATCGTAATTTCCCATTTTTATCTTTATAAGCTTTTAGTCCTTCGAAACATTCAAAAGAATAATGGAATACCATGGAACTAGGTTCAAGTGAAATCTTGCCATAAGGCTGGATAATTGGATCAGACCACCCATCTTTACTATTCCATACGATCGTTAGCATATGATCGGAAAAGTATCGCCCAAATACAAGGTCCTTGCTTGGAATTAGGGGTTTTAAAGATTCGGATAGTTTGACCTGAAGTCTTCTATGCTGTTTAACCATTTAATTTTAATTCATTTTGGTATATGCATTTTACAAGTAACGATAAAAGTTATTTTCTGCAAATAACAAATTCGAGGAATATGAAAATACTGGTAAAAGGATATTTTTTTGTAACCAAGATTTGTAATAGTATCTCTAGTAAAAGATCAGAACTGGAGTGAGCTTACATTAATGTCAGCAGGTTTTGCATCAGCGAGCGTCGACTTAAAAAGAGATTGTTGTAAGTTGAAAGGTAATCTTTTAGTATAGTGGGGCAGTGTTGACTTAGTTGATACTGTTGTAAATAACCGTTTCGAAACGAAAGCAGACATTGTAGTTATCATTAATTTAACGTATCGATATAATTAGATACCATCGAGGTTTATTTATACGTAATAATGCATGTCCGTAATCTGTGACAGGTTAAGCCACAATGTCAATTACTGGTATGACTGTATACTTAGAGTCGTAATATGCATAAAGCAGTAGACAACAAATTTATCAAATTTATTTACTTCAATATACATAATTATACGTATAAAATGAAAATTAGTGTTATGTCCTCTACATATTCTTGCTCAAATTATGCTCTTTTTTCCCGTTTTTTTTCTTTTTTCGGACGGGAATAGTTTGAGGATCGAATGTTTCTTTGGCATTATTTTCAGAGGCGGTAACCTTCGCTTAGTACCACTTCCTTCTGTTTTCCGTCTTCTGATAGATTCTACTTGAACCCATATGCGTGAGCCACTTTTGACATGAACCATTGGATCAAAATCGCGATTAATATCATAGAGAAAGGAAGACAATCGGGAGATAGATTTTGTTCTTGCCGCGATATAACGATCCTTAAATTTATCTAACGCGGCATGTAAAGTTGATCCACCATCTTGATAATCAGAAAAATGATGCGAATTCTGAACTATCAAATTTCTTAGTTTCTTTATTCACTTATTTTTTCAGATCCTCTAAAAAAATAAAATAAAATAAAAAAAATGTATATATTATAAAAAAATTACAAATTTTTATTTCAATAATAATTTTTTGACTCACTCTATAATCAAAGAACTGCTTGATATTTCCATTTCCGGGCTCAAACATAGTTTGATGTGGTCGGATTTGTATTACCGGGTTTTTATTAGATTTGGTA